CGGCATAAAGGCGTCGTACAGTGCGAACACTAGCAGCAGGGCATTCCAAAGATAGATCACGCTCCAGATGGCGAACGCGCTGCCAGCTGGCGTGATTGGAGTGTCATACTTGTCAGACACCTGCAGGCAGGCAGGCAGACAGACAGACAGGCAGCCTACCGTTGGTGTCACATTCGCCATCTGCCTCAACTCACCTTTCCGACGGATTTGACCTCCTCGCCGAGGATGGCTGATCTGGAGCTGTCGAAGTTGAAGGCCAAGTTGAGCGCGAACAGCACCACCGTCAAGACGGAGAGCACAGCCACCAAACCAGCGGCAGCCTGGCGCGATATTTTGACTCGACAGCGCCCCGAGGTCCCGCCAGGCGAAGGGTTGTCCTGCGCTGTCGACTGGACTGTAGTAAAGGTCGGCTCCGTCGCCATCACTGATCAAACACGGCTGAATGGCGAGTGCGAAATGTGTTTGTCAGAGACCTCCGAAGAGGCAACAAATCTACACACACAACACAACAGCACCGGTCAGTCAGTCAGTCTGGCCTTTCCTTTGGTGTGTTTTCGTGACTGACCTGAGGGAGTGTGTGTGCTGTGGAGATGGCCTCACCCGGCTGGTGTTTGCTGGGAGATCTCTGAGAGATGTCTGCGCTCGGCACCTCCTGCGAGCTAAGCGAGCTTAGCCTGAGTGCAGATCTCGGCAGAACGACGCAGCTCTTTTGCCCTCGACTTGCTTCGCAATGGTGAGCTCCCACCTCAGCCGCCAGGCACACGAGCAGATCCCCGCCTCGGAGCTCGCCTTCCCACGCAGCACCACCCACAAGCTCTTCGAGGAGCGCGTCAAGAAGCACCCCAACCGCCCTGCTGTCACCGACGCCTTCGGCACCACTCTCACCTACGCCCAACTCAACCAACAGGTGCGTGCTCCCCACCCCACCCACCACTGCCAGCAACACGAGACCTCTCAATCCGGGGCGCCGGGGCGTGTGTGCTGCGGGTGTTTGTCTTGTGTGTCTTGTGTGTAGGCCGATGCGTTGGCGGCGGTGCTGCGTGCAGAGGGCATCACGCGCGAGACACTGGTGGGGGTGTCGGTGCGGCGGTCGGCCCGCCTGATCGTCTCGCTGCTGGGCGTGCTCAAGGCGGGCGGCGGGTTCGTTCCGCTCGACCCCGACTTCCCGCCCGAGCGCATTGCCTTCATCCTGGAGGATGCCAACGCGTCGGTGCTGGTGGCCGAGGGCGATGTCTCACCCGAGCTCAAGGAGGGAGGGGCGCACAAGATCGTCTACGTCGACCAGCCGCTTCCCGATGTGGCCACCACGTCCGCACAGGGTGTGCCTGTGCCTGGTGGGTGGCGCGACAGCGAGGCCGGCGACCTGGTGTATGTGCTGTATACGAGCGGCAGCACGGGCAAACCCAAGGGCGTGCAGATTCTGCATGAGAGTTTGGTCAACTTCCTCTATGGATTCCAGGAGGTGAGCATACCACCCACCCCATACCATCCACAGACACACCACACCACCGGACATTTCCTGCCTGCCCTGTGTGGGTGGGGTGCGTTCGTTCGTCAGGCGCTGCAACTTCCCGAGGAGGGCACGCTGCTGGGCGTGACGACCATGTGCTTCGACATCTCCAACCTGGACTGGTTCCTGCCACTCATTTTCGGCGCACACCTGCGCATCGCCTCACGCGACGAGATGCGCGACACCTCCCTCCTCATGGACGTCTTCCGCACTGCCAAACCGGCCTTTATGCAGGCCACACCGTCACTCTGGAAGGTCGGCCGGCCGGCCGTCACCACACACCAGCACTGGTGTGTGTGTGCCAGTGATTGTGTGGTTGGTTTGGTTGGGTGTGTGTAGGCGTTGATCGATTCGGATTGGGAGGGCTGCCGCGGGCTGACTATCGGCAGCGGTGGCGAGCCCCTCAACAAGCACCTGGCCAACCGCCTCTGCGAGCTGGGCGACCGCGTCATGAACCTCTACGGGCCCACCGAAGCCACGGTGAGTCAGTCAGTGAGCGACGGCCACACGACGCAACGCGCCTGTGTGTGTGGTGGGGTGGCAGATATGGTGCACGACGGCCGAGATCACCGCTGGAATGGAGAAGGTCCCCATCGGGTACGCGCTGCCCAACTACGTCCACTACATTCTCAACGAAAAGGGCGAGCTCGTCAAGGACGGCGAGGTCGGCGAGCTGCACATCGCTGGCGTGTCGCTGGCCCGGGGGTACTTGAATCGACCTGAGATCACGGTAGGTCTTGAGGCCGGCCGGTGAAGAGTTCACTCTGTATGTGGGCTGGGCTCGAGAACCACCTCTCACTCTCTGTATGTGTGTGTGCGTTGCAGGCCGAGAAGTTCGTTGCCAACCCGTTCGTCCCCAACACGCTCATGTACAAGGTCGGTGCCGCACACACACACACACCACCATACACACATGCGATGGTTGGATGGATGGATGGATGCCCGCCTCTCTCTCTCTGTGTGCGTGTGTGTGTGTGTGTGTGTGACGTGCAGACAGGGGACCTGGCGCGTTTGCTGCCCGACAAGCAGCTCGAGTGCCTGGGGCGCATCGACAACCAAGTCAAAATCAGAGGGTACTCCCACACCCACACACGCATCTTCCATGCACTTGTCTCTCTCTCCTCTCTCTCCCTCCCTCTCTCTCTCTCTCTCTCTTTGTGTGTGTGCAGTTTCCGCATCGAGTGCGGCGAGATCGAGGACGTCCTGTCGCACCACCCCTCAGTGGCCGACGTGTGTGTGGTGGGCCACGAGACCCCAGACGGCAGCAAGCAGCTCGTCTCCTACATCGTCACCAAGCCGTGGGAACTCGAGAACGAGGTACCCCCCCACCAATTAACCAACACGCAGAGTGCGTGTCACTCACGTGCTCATCGCATCTGTGCCAACCAACAGGCGCGTGAGAGTGAGGCCAAGGAGGCGGAGGACCGGTCGCACTCGAAGGTGCAGGATTGGGCTGACGTCTACGATGCCGCTTACAGCAGGAAGACCGGCGTGGTGGGCCGCTCACACCACTTCACCATGCCCCATGCCCACACACGAGTGTGTATCCGATGGATGGATGGCTGGCTGGCTGGATGGATGGACAGGTTGACGACCCCACTCTCAACTTCAGTGGCTATGACGACTCCTACACCCTGATGCCGCACCAAGTCGACGTCGTCAAGGAGTGGTCTGTCTGCATGCGTGTGTGCCCGTGGACAGACCGGCAGACACATGAGTGTGTGTGTGTGTGTGTGTGGTCGCAGGGTCGAGGAGACCGTCAAGATTGTCATGGATCTGCAGCCGAGACGCGTGCTCGAGATGGGATGCGGCAACGGTACACTCACCCCAACACCACCATCACCACCAACACACACACAAGCGTGCATACAAAGACAGACAGAGAGAGAGAGAGAGCACCCACACATGCCCTATCCTTTGCTGCTGTGCTGGGCAACGTCGCACTACCCACGTCTGGGCCGTTACGTTTTACCGTGCTGTCCATGCCATGTCATGTGTGTGTGCGGGCGTCTCGTTACAGTACATGCGATGGATGCGATGCGTCACGTGAATCCGTGTGCCTGCCTGTGCGTGGGGGCGTAACGTTGACTGACCAGTGTCGGCCAGCCCGCGAATCGATCCGCCATTCGGCAACCAGCCCAGCCGGGGTGCATGTCGGTGTGTGTGCGTGCGGCAATGGTGGCGGCCAGCAGCTGACATCTGACCTGAGCTGATGACGCCCGAAGGAGCGACTGAGCCCGTCCGTGTATTGTCTTCTCAAGGCAATGGGAGGGAGGGGAGGGGCAGGGAGGGAGGGATGGAGGGGGGTGCATACTTACTGCACAACTTTTCCGTGGGCTGATTTCATGCCGGGGAGGCCACACACACCTTTGCCCACTCTCTCTCTCTCTCTCTCCCCTCTGTCTCTGCTGTGTGTGTGTGTGGTTCGACAGGCATGCTGCTGTTCCGCATTGCCCCGAGTGTGCAGCACTACCACGGCTGCGACATCTCCAACGAGGCACTCGGCTACCTGCAAGAGGTGTGCGCCTGTGCACACACACACACACACACACATGGATGGATGGATGGATGGATGTGTGTTTCTGAATGGATGTCAGGTGCGCTCGACGTTGCCGCAGTACCGGCACATCTCTCTAGAGACCTCTCTCCGCGAGGCGGCCGACTTCACCAACCTGGCGCACGACAGCTACGACCTGGTGCTCGTCAACGGCGTCTCAATGTACTTCCCAAGTAAGCCTGAAACAGCTGACCATACCTTTAGCGTGTGCACAGACATCCGTCCACCATGCCTGGCTGTGTGTGGCTGTGTGGGCAGGTGTGCGCTATCTGCTGGACGTGGTGCTCCGCGCCTGCAACGTCGTCAAGAAAGGTCTGTCTGCTTTGTGCGCAAAGGCATGCATGAAACACAGCTGCCACAGAGAGACAGGGAGA